GTGGTTTTAATAGTGCCTTAGATACTGATATTGCACATACTGCACTCACTAGCACAGTACCTTTGGGTACCTTAAAATTACCACCAGCTAGTGCAGTAACAGCTACTTCAGTATCCTTGGACACTGCTCCTTGAGGACACTCTAATCTGAATCCATATTTCTCCCACTGGAGTGAGTGAGACCTGTCTCCTTGTAGGATAAAGAGCTTCTGTCCAGCTATAATGACACTAGAGTCTAGTGAATCTGAAACAATACAGACAAATCATATCTAATACCAGTATAGTACACACACAATCATTCACTCGTGTACATGTAAATGAATAATTTACCCATTGAAGGGATCAGGTAATTAAATTGTAGTCCAATGGAACTAGTCTCTTTGATAGGTTGCTTGAGGACCCTCTCTTGTCTTTCCTTCACTAGTTTGGCTATGTACAACTCCTTTTCTTTAAGGTCTATAAATTAATAGAATATTAATAATTATTATTGATTGATGATGATATACTAACCAGTAATGATCTGTTGCTCATTCTGTGATTGCTCCTCTACTTGTGATGCCAGTTTGGCTATAAATTTGTCTTTCTTAGAAACGTCAGTTTTCAGATTTTGAATGTCGTCTACATAATAAACATATTCTCTCATCTAATACATGCTGTGTGTACAGTTAACTAACCAATAATGATCTGTTTCTCGTTGAAATATTGTTCCTCAATATCAGCTACTTTGAGTTTTAGTTTCTCATAATCTTCTACATTAATAGAATATTCTCTCATCTAATATTATGTACTGATGAATGATGATATACTAACCAGTAATAATCTGTTTCTTCTCGTCTACTTGTGTTTTTTCTTCCAATATCTCAGCAACTTTAACTTTCAGCATCTCATTATATTCTATTATTAATAAAAATACAAAGATAGAAAATAAAATGATACTCATTGCCAAACAAATTTGCACTGCATGTACAGTAGCTCATAAATACATGTACTATAATTATTGCTAATGATACCATATATGGTAAGCAGAGCTAACTCTACATCAATCTCATTATTTCTATTGCATGGACAATTTGACCTATATTGAGTACAGGATACTATTTCCATACTCAACATTGTCTAATCCACTAGTATTATAATGTAAATAATGTACACATAAACAACAGTACAACTCAATAGTACCTAATTCAAGAGTTGATTTATCCTTTTCCGCTTGCTCAAGGAGAGTGGTAGCATCATCAAGTTGCTGACTAAGTGTTGCCTTTTCTTGATGAAGCTGTTGCTGCTCTTTGTTTCGATCTTGCTGTATCTGCTCCTTCTCTTTTATTTCTCTTTGAAGCTGTTCCTCATAAAATTCTCTCTCTTTTTGTAATTGCAGACGATCTTGAAATATTTGAAGCTGTTTATCTGTTGCTAAATTCTCCCAATCACTCAGTATCCTTATTCTTAGTTGATCTTGATACTGGTCCAGAGGTATTACACTAGTAGACCAATCATTATTACTAGTATATCCTATACAGTAACAAAATAGTGGAGAATAAGAAATACACAAATTAATTGATGTTAGTTACTATGGTAACCTTATTATTGATGGATTCATGTTTATAATCATTGTATGTGTGACCTCTGTCAGTTTACACAGTTAACCACATGAACATATTATTGTATATAAATACACCGATAATAATATTTCATTCACTCTAGCTCCTATTAATATCAGTGTTTCTGTATCTGCAGTCATTATATTTCACTATTATACATAGCAGGAATGAATTGGTAATAATTAGTATCATAGGTATACGTCAAATGCTCTCATTAAATATTCATCATAAGAATTACTTACTTTATTGTAATATTATCATTACTAATTATCATTACATATTCAATATACGTTGTATCTACTACTGTCTACATGTACTTACTGAGTTCAATAACTGCTGTATCACTTATTTCTTTAAAATCGCCTCTATCTCCTCCAAACTCAATTATCCAGTTAGTAGTTGGGGTCACACTCCACACTGAGAGAGAATGATCATATCTGTTAGTGACATTGTCTGGTAGATTAATCTATAAAATTAAAATGATAACAATTAATTTCTGTATGACATATTAATTGATTTGATATCTGGTTAATAAACACAGTAACTAACTGACAGTTTTATAGTCTGCACAGTGTGTTTTACGTAACACAAAGATCACATAATAAAATTAATAATACACAATATATTAATAGACAAGTATACACAACTGAGTGTGTTATTATATCATGTGAGTCCTCAATTAAGAACTAAGTGTCTGCATATACACACATACATGTACATCTATACATGCATACACATATAAAGGTACATGTAAAGCATGTATAATTGCTCACACACATACACACACATGTACATGTTACATGTACACATGATGTATGTGTTAGTACACACATACACATATTAAAACATATGCACACATACACATAAATACATGTATGTACATACACAATGTACACAATGTATATAAAATACAATTTATTTTAATTCCACCATTGACACTCTATCAATTGTGAATCCATCTTTACACACACACACACACAGACACAATTATATTCACACATATTTAGGTAAACAAAACACAAAAAAACACAAACACACATTTACATTAAAAACAGACACACACACGTACTGAATACCAGCATTATTCATCAGTAGTTTTCACTAAGTGTCATGATATGTACATGTACATTACAAAAATCATGAGTTACAAATTTAGTTAATCACTTCGTGTTTCATTATCAAGCATCATAATACAATACTTACCAGTTCTTTCCATTTTCTTTTGTTAATGTCCAGTAACCATACATCATGGGCAGGTGATCCACCCACCACTAGTAAGTGTGGTCCTGAACTAGTGGTAATCAGTACACTGGAATGACCCCATCTTCCCTCAGGCCATTGTACTGATTCTCCAGGATTAGGTACTTCTAATATATCCTGCGAAAAAAAATCAATGTAATAAAATAATTCGGAAACTCACAATTTGCAATCAAAAGAATCTCACAATCAAGACCCATCCTACAGCATTAACTCACCACTGATGTCTTAGTGAAACTTATCATATACAGTTTATTCCATCCATTACCAGTATAGCCTCCGAACATTACCGCAGTGTTATTAGTAACTGGTGTTAGAGTGAAGTCATCAATAGGAGGTGGTCTGTCTCCAGTAACAACAGGAGATATCCATTGATCTAATAATAATGTACAAACATTTGTGTACACTTACTTACCACATACACACACATACATTATACACATTCATCATACATATGTATGTGTATATGTGTGTACTAGTCTCGCCCCGCCCCTTCGCTACCTGTGGAGGAAGGGTCTGGAGACACTCACGCAAAAAGTGTGTGGAAAGAAGAACACGTGGTTGGCTCCACGTCATGTGACAGAGGAGACCAGATCCGTCAAGATAGCTTAAACAGATGCTTTGCAGCTAAGAAAAGATGAGGATACAGTCTCTTGGACATCTCTTGCAGATTTGAGAGCAGCAACTCTTCACAGAGCGCCATAGTATTTACTTTTTATCGATGA